TGTGTGCTGGAATCAGGGAAGGCGAGGCGAGCAGGGAGGAAGAGGGGGGAGGGAGGCAGCAGAGGTGGCTGGTTTGCTGGGCACCGGCTCTCAGGTCAGGATGGAGCCCCCTGAGGTGTGGTCTCTCATTCACCCTTCGAAGGTCTGAGGGAGATGCCAGTGTTCACTTCTTTTCCAGCTGAGGAGACGGGCTCAGCTGGATTTAGCCCGAATTCCCAGTGCTAGTAACTGGCCGCGCCAGGAGAGGAACCTCAGTTTGCCTGACTCTAAAGTCCCCATCCTCCAGACGAGCCTCCTGGGTCTACCTGGATGGTCCCAAGGACAGGGTGGGGACCTCCTATGGCCCGCTGGGCCCCTCAGCACTCCTGGGAGGGTTTATCCGAACATGTCATTACCCGGTGCGAGCGTTTATGCAGCAGCTGATTAGCCCTAACGAGAACCTCGGCTCTGTCATTGATCAGGAGCAGAGCCTGTTGCCGGAGCTGGCTTCCTGCTGGTGGCTTCCTCATGGCCCAGCAGTGCCTGCAGCAGAAGGTGACCAGGATGCCTAGCCCATCAGTGGCCAGCTCCGGGGACCAGAAAATGGGGCCCGGCCTCCTCCCTGCCCCGTCCCCAAGCCTGTTCTGGTCTCAGCGCTGCCCCTTTGTGTCCTCTGGGCCCTCGGGCCTGGGGACCCCCTTCACTCTCCCTCTTTCCCCGCCTCCCCTCCCCCAGCCTCCCCCTGTTCACTCTTGGTCGTGTCCCGTGGGTACCTCGCAGCCTCTTCTGGCCCCTCCCTTCCATGGCCATCTGGGGGCTCGAGGCCTTGATGGCAGAGAGCCCCGGGCCTTTCCTGGCCTTGCGTCTCGTCAGTGTAGGAAGCTGAGTAGGAAAGAGGGACGGATGAGCCCAGATGCTCAGCTCTGGGTGAAGGGCATCGCACCAGGTGGCTAACAGTTCTCATGGCAGAATGCGCTGTGTTTAATACCTTGATGTCTTGTCAGCTGGATAAATGAATTCTGTCAAATCTCTTGAGGCCGGTTCCCAAAGTAAAGCATTTAGGGGGGAGACAGATCTCATACCCTGACGGCAAAATTCACTTGAAATGATTATTTAATCCAGTGTCCCTGTGAGCCTTGGTGCTGAAATTTTCAAGCTTGTTCACCATGAATGTTTTTTCCTTCTTCCCCCTCACCCTCTAACCCCAACGCCTCCCCCCCAAAATCTTCTGGTGCCCGGTTCTCTGTCTCCTACGCAACAGCGCGGCAGAGGAGCGCGGCTGGGCTAATGACAACCATTTGGTTCCTCAGGACAGTGTTTAGGGGGAAACGACAGAGCACAAAGCCCGCCTCACGGTGACTGTCTGGGGACAGAGGTGCTCGCTGTCAGTGGCCCCCGCAGCCCAGGGATGACAGCGCACTGGGTGGGCAGGGGGTTTACAGACCCAGAGTCCGTGTGCCGTGCGGCAGGATGGAGAGACGGGGGCGTCTGCGAGGATGGCGGTGCCTCATCCCTGATGGAGACGGGGGGCGGGGGGGCGGGGAGCTGCTGCTTTTCTGCTAAACCCCACTCTCCACCCTTCCCCTCTTCCATTCCCCATCGCTGCCCACCTTTCAGATCTAGTCCTGCACTGGGGCCCAGCCCTTTACAGTTTGCAAAGCACTGCATTTGAATTCATGCATCCATTCATTCGTGCATTCATTCATGTTATTAGCACTGCAGTAGCTGACGCTCACTGAGGGTCATGATCTGTCTGAAGGTCTGGGGTTACAGGGACCTACAGGACAAAGCCTTTGCCTCCAGACCCCAGGGTTTGACGGCAGAGATGGGCTGTCGTCGAATGGCCATGACTCTTATGAGAGACGTGGTGCCAGGCACACAGCAGGTGCGTCCCTTGATTAGAACGAGTTGGGCGGCTGGTAACAGAAGGTCCAACGACAACGCCCCGATCACCTGGGACATGTAATGACTGTGCATAGAAGATTCTGGAAGGAGGCAGTTCTGGGGCTGGTCAGATGTTCAGTGAGGCCACTAACCCAGGGTCTTACCCTCTTTCCTTTTATCATCCTCGGCTGCGGTGGTCTTTTCCCTTAGCTTCTTGCCTCAGGGTTGCAGGATGGCTGCCACAGCTCCAAACATCGTCTCACACAACAGCATTCAAGTCTAGAAGAGGGGAGTCGAGTGAGGCCCTTTCCCAGGAGCACTCCCTGCACCAGCAGGCTTCCCTCACACCTCAGTGACCAGATCTGGGTCACACACTCCCTCCTGAAACCATATCTGGAGAAGGAGGGAGTGTGCCAGGCTTGGCTGCACCCTGGGCCAGGGAGGCCCCCAGGGCTGAGTCTGTGGCTGCAGAACAAGCCCAGGGCTCTGTGAGTGACGGAAGGAGGTGCGCGCTCCAGGCAGGGGCCACCCATGTGTACCACCTTCTCGTTGGTGCTGTGACTCAGTGTCCCGGGCAGTGTGGGCTCTGGGGTGGTGGCCAAGCCCCGGCCCTGGGGACAGAGAGCCCTGCACTGAGCCTCTGTCCTCCATGGGCTGTGGGGTCTGGACCATGGCATGGCCTCCCCGCTGTGGAGTGGGGACCATGATGGTACCTGCCAAGCAGGGAGGTCGTGAAGGGGACAAGGGTCGTGCATGTAGACACCTGTTGTGAGGGGGTGTTAGCAGCTGCTGGCTATCTCAGCGATTAGCCCCATCTGTAAAATGGGCCCATGGAGTCTCCTCTGTGACAGTCCTGGGGGTGATGAGTTAGCATCAGGGAGATGAATAGCAGGGAGATGGGTTCATATGAGTGAGTGCTTCCTGCATGTGCTGGGCGCCCTTCCACGTCCTTGGTCACTTCATCCTCACAGCCGCCTGCAAGGAGGGAGCTGTTTTCATCTCTATTTTACAGCTGAGAAAACTGAGGCTCAGGAGGGTGACCCTGGGTCAAGTGAGGGCAGCCCGGGCTCTGGGATTGTCCAGCCACCGTGTTCTGATCCAGTGCAGGCCTGGGTGGAGCCGGCACAGGCAGGTGCTCAGGTAACCCCTCCCCTCCTGCTGGCTGTCACCAGGGTCCAGGCTGGTGGCGGGGGCTGTCCCATCTCCCTACCCTGCCCTCTGTTCCCCCCGAGTCCAGGGCCCCAGAACGTGCCTGGGGCGTGGGGGGATGTGCCCACTGACTCACTGCCCCCTCTCTCCATGGTAACGAATGGACACCTTCTGTGACATCCATGATGGCTGGTGTCACTTGTCATGTGGTGAAGTGGCGGCTTGCACTCTTGGGGAAACAATATGCGCTTATGCGGAACATAAGCATATGCTAATGATGGGTAATTACACTCCGTATTTATAGATTTACCAACATATGTAAGACCGCTTCTGACAATTACACGCCTGCAGGCGCATCGCGATGTAGTAACCGCACGGGAGGCTCCTGGGCAGCCCCACGACGTGAGCCAGGGCCCCCCGGGGTGGGCTGAACGTGCAGCCCAGCCCTGCTCACTCAGGCCTGGCCTGCCGCCGCCCTCCCAGCCTTCCCGGTCCTCCTGGCTTCCCAGAGAGATGGCACATCTCTGGATGTGGGGGAAATCCAGGCAGAGTGAGCAGCACTCACCAGGGCACTGGGGTGGGGCTCAGTGACAGAGGAGCTGAGAAAGCCGCGTGGCTGGATAGGGTGGGGGGCTGGGCAGAGAGGCTGGGGAAGGTTGAGAGGGCAGGCCTCCTGGATAGAGTCAGGAACTAGGTGGAGGAGAGATGAGCTGCATTAGGGAGGGGTGAGGAGGAGTGAGGAAGGGTGAGGAGGTGAGGAGGGATGAGGAAGGGTGAGGAGGGTTAGGAGGGTTGAAGAGGGGAGAGGAGGTGAGGAAGGCTGAGGAGGGCTGAGCAGGGGTGAAGAGGGGTGAGCAGGGGTGAGGGGCTGCTTCCCTCTATCTTCCAGTCCCGTCCCCAGTGGAGCTGAGGGAATCTATGCCAACTCCCAAGATCTGGGCAGAAGGAAGTTGAGCACTGGGTGCTGGGGACAAGGAGGAGGCAGCAGGGATGGGGCGGGGGTGCCCAGGCTGGGGGCCCTTAGGGAGATTTTCTGTTATGGGGTGGGGGGGCTCCGCCAGGAGGACTCATTTCCGGAGACCCACCTAGTCCTGATTGCTCAGTCAATGGGCAGAAATGAACAGACCCGGTTGAACCACCAAGTACAAGTACAATTGCTGCTAGTGAACCACGTAAAACAGCCTTTTCAATCGATCCAACGTGATATTTTTGCCACCAGCAGCCAGCAGGTTGCTTTTGCTCCATCAGACGCAGGCTCAGGGAGCACCTCCCCACCCCAGCCCTGCCTTCCTCCCCTCCCTCCCTGGAGCCTATCCCTGCACACAGCTAGAAAATCCTCCACGGCAGCATCTCCCTGATGCTGACCCCACATTTGGCTTCATCGGCACCACCCGAGGGGCTCTAAGCATACAGACCCCCTTTGTGTCCCCTGAGACCTCCAAGCAGGGGTTGGGCAGGCTGCCGGCCACACCTCCAACAAGCAGCCTCCCACCCCTGCCCGAACCAGGTCCTCCCACCGCTGCTGAGCTCAGGAGGCTGGCGTTTCCCAGTTGCCTGCTGGGAAAATCCAGCTCCTCACCCCAGCATTAGGGCCCCTGGAATGGGGTTCACCTCACTCTACTCCACCAGCTCCCCTCCCCGGCAGGACTTCCTGGCAGGAGCGCCGATCTCGTCGATTGCATTAGACAAAGGGCTTCACTGCAGAACTCTGTATGTCCAACTGTGGGCTCTGAGGCTGTGCTGCACCCCCCCCCCACTTCACAGCTGGTGGAATAGAGGTGCAGGGGGCTCAGAGTGAGGAGGTCGCCTCCCGTCTCTGTCCACCGTGACACCTGCTGCTGCTTCTGCCTCTTAAGTGTAATTCTTCTTTTAGCTTGTCTGTCCGACAGTTTTTTATTGAGCACCTGCTCCATGCTTGGCTGTGTTCTGGGGGCTCAGGACACAGGGTGCAACAAAGCCCATGTCGCTGGCTAAAGAAGGTCGTCAGATACAGCTGGGGAGTCAGTTTATTCATCAGGCCACAAAAATGACATCAGGTGCCAGCTCCTCATGTCCCATGTCCCATAGGAAGACACCAGAACCAGCGTGACAGACGACAAGGCAACACGGGCAGTGGGCTGACCTGGCAGTGAGAAGCAAATTGCGTGGGTAGTTTTATCACCCTGAGGAAGGCGAGTCCATGTTCTGAGAGGGCATCAGAGTACTTGGCCAAGACTTATCAGCTCTGACTGTCTTGCCTTCGTGGCCTGTGTGGAGAGTACAGGTGGCCAGGGTACCAGGTCACAGCCATTGCCCTGTGCTTCCCTGTCCTCATGGGGCCCGGGCATCAGGTTGTTTTAAATCTTCCAGGTAATTCTAATTGGCAGCCTGAGGTGAGGGCCCTGGTCTGGGTTTTGCTCGATTTCTGAGGTTTCCTTGCAGCCATGCCTGATGCGCGCGCGCACACACACACACACACACACACACACACCGGTCGGATACTATACACCACATATAATATAGACATGTCTATCTGCCTCTCTATGTCTCTATCTCTGCTTCTGTCTCGTCTCTATTTCATCTCTGTCTCTGTCATATGCTTAGCTGTTAGGTACCACTCATGTATGCCACGTAGGACTCACCTGTTCTACAAGGCACACACTTTCAGTCCCTCTACTTTTTGTATGAGGTAAGTGAGTGGTCCCAGAGCTAGTAAGGCGCAGAGCCAAGACTTAAATCCAGGCCTGCCCCCTCAGTGCCCCCACTCTTGACCCTCACCCCATCCCGGTCACTCAGAGCCCCAGACCCTGACGTGCCGTGTCCAAGGTTCTGTGATGTTCTTTCTCTGAAAAGAATTTTTAAATGTTTATTTTTGAGAGAGAGAGAGAGAGAGCAGGGGAGGGGCAGAGAGAGAGAGGGAGGCACAGAATCCCAAGCAGGCTCCAGGCTCTGAACTGTCAGCACCGAGCCCAATGTGGGGCTCAAAGCCAGCTGTGAGATCACGACCTGATCCAAAGTCAGACGCTTAACCAACTGAGCCACCCGGGCACCCCTGGATTCTGTGATGTTCTCAGCGTCTGACCATGTGCCATCTACCATCCCACTATTTTCCTGTTTTGTGAACCATACTTTGTGATTTTTGACAATTCTGTTTTAATGATATACATTTTTAAATGTCCAACGATTCTAACTTATTATTATCTCCCTTCAATAGTCTCCGATTCTCATATCCAGGGGGTGTAGCCTCCTGTGGCAGGCAAGCCCCCTCCTCAGGAACCGGCAGCCACTCCCCGCAGCTGTGTCCCCCCCCAGGTTCCTGGTTACACCCCCTTCCCTTTCAAATTCCGCCCGGACCATCTTCAGCTGCTCCCTCCTCTGGGCTTCCTTCAGGTGGTCTGAGCTCATGGCTGTCACAGGTGTTATTGGCCATGACGGTGACACTTAGAACAATTAATATGGGCGAGAAACTCCTGCCAGATGTGGGACGCGCAGTGAGTCCTGGAGCCCAGACGGCCACCGTCCACACGCATGTACCTGCTGGGTCTCCGCAGTCACAGAGGGACGCTGCCCCTGTCTGGCTGCCCTGTGTCACAGGGGCCCCTGCCGAGGACCCCCAGGCGGCGGGGTTTCATTGGCTGCTTGGGGTCTGGCCCCCCTTCCCTGCTGGAGCCTCCCGCACTCTCCCCTCTCTGCTCTCAGGACCTTGTCTCCTCTGGGGCCTCTCCTGATGGTGTCTCTGAGCTCAGACTCCAGACCCCTCAGTGGGGGTTCAGTCCCTGTTAATGGCCAGAGCGCTGGGCACGGGTTAGACCACAGGCTTTGACCAACCCTGGTTTCCAGTCTGGGCTCTGCCCGTTCCTTGCTGTGGGACCTCAGGGAAGTTACTTAACCTCTCTGAGCTCAGTGCCCTTACATGGGAGTTGAAAAATAATGAAAGGGCCTGCCTTGTGGGATGGAGGCCAGACTTACATGGATGGGGTAGGAGAGTCGTTGGCTCACAGTCCTGCAAACACTCCATCGACGAGGGCTGTTATCGCTACTGCTATTGCTGTGTCAGGGCTGCTGGTTTCTCTGGCCCCAAGCACACACGGGTCAGCAGCTTCTCCTGAACCTGGAGGGTCCCGCCCCCACCCCACCCAGGGCTCCCCTCACGGAGGTGGTGAGAGGAGAGTGAACTTCCCATCCCACAGCGGGGGGCAGACTCGGCCTCTAGCACTCACTCCGAGTGTGATGTGGGCAAGTGACAGAGCTTCATCAGTTTCCCCTTCTGTCAAGTGGGCACAATAAACCTGGCCACATAGGGTCATGTAAGGGTTGCCTGAGGGCTTCTCAGCAGGAGGTGGATTCATAAACTTAAATCATTTGAGACCGTGATTTCTGGGGAACTTCTCCCCCTCTCTGGGCTCCCTGTCTGTCTGCAAAGCAGTATCTGCTTTTTAGAATGATGTTATCATTCCAGGCCCCGAGGGGGTGCGGTGCTGAGCACCCGAAAGCTCTCCCCTTCTGTCACCGCTGCGCTGACGGATGAGAAACCCAGGCCGAGGGGCCCAGATTAGACGACTGGGGACAGGACAGTGTACGCCGTGCTAAATTACGCAGGGCGGACAATTAGAGAACGAAACGATCTGTAATAAAGGGCTAATTGGGCGGGACAGAGGCTCCGCGTGCGGAGGCGGAGGTGAGGGAGAGGCGCCCGCGGCCCGGGGCGGGGCCGGCCTGGTGGCCGCGGTCTCCGCGACGACGCTCCTCCTTCCCCAGGTACAAGTCACGCACGCGCACCGGGAGGCGTCTGGAAAGTGCAAAATGGTAAGTGTGAGAGCACGTCAGTCACCTGATGCCCCGCCTCCCGGAGACGGAGGCCGGTCCGTTACCGGTCCGCCTTCATTCCTGGTTTCTCCGCGGACGCTGCCTCCAAGCCGCAGGCAGCGAGCAGGGATCCGATGAGACCGCACAGAAGCCTCCAGAACAGCGGGGTCATTTCTCGCTCCCGTCACACGTCACGTGGTCGGCAGGAGGGCGCTGCTACCTCAGACACCGGGGCCCAGGCCCATGGGCGCCCCCGTCCTAGGGTGTCAGCATGTCCCCGTGCGCTTCTCGGTCACGGTGACCGGGAGGAACGGACAGAACTGGCTCTGAGCCTTCCGTGCTCCCTCTGGAAGGTTCTCGCCCCACCTCTATCGTCGCTTCTTGGCCAAAGCAGGTCTCACGGGCACCTGCCTCGCAGGTGACAGGCACGCGGGGCATCCTGGGAGGGGGCGGCGCCGGAAGGACACCCGGGTCCCGGGGAACCCCGGCCACGCCCTCCTCACGCTGCCGCGCAGATCGGGGTCCCCACCCGACACTCCGGTCTGACCCGGCTTCTGCCTCATATAGACCATTTGACTAATGTATCATCATTTATCTAACTAATCTCCTATTTATGTAATCTAAATGATTTCATTTATTACTATTATAAATAACACTGCAAGAACTATTTTCATTCTTTAACCTTCGTCTAAATTTCTATTTTGTTAGAAAAGTCTCCCATAAAGGAAGGAAACGTGGGGTGAAATAGCGTGACGATTTAAGAACTGAAAACGGCTAATGTTTAAGGAGAGAATCCTCCTCAGGGCCTGTTCACTGACTCCACGATCTGGGACCTTCTCCGCTCTGCAGCCTCCCACCCTGGCCCCTCCGCCATCTTGCCCGGCCCCGGCCCCTGTCACTGCCCCCAGAGCAGCCAGGTGACCGGGAGACTCCGGGCAGAGCCGTCCCTGCCCTGCTCCGCGCCCCCAGGGCCCTGCCGCACTGGGCACCGTGCCCCAGGGATCCTGAGCCCCCAGCTCCTCCCCACCACCCTGCAGCCCTCCCTACCCTCAGCCCCCAGGCACCATCCTGAGCCTGGAGCCGTCTGCATGGTCAGGTTCAAGGCTCGCCCTTGCCCTTCCCTCCAGCTGGAGCCTCCTCTCTGCATCTACCCCCAAATCTCCCGAAGGGCCCTTTGCCCCAAGGGCAGTCTGGCCGCCCCTGTCTCTGCAGCCTCAGCACCCGCCACATTCCCCCCATTCAAGGTGGTCAGGCCACACAGGCCTTTCTTCTGCCCTTGAACCTCTGAGCCTTTGCATATGTTGTTCCCTCCACCGGGAGCATCCTCCGGGGCGTCTCACCTGGCTGACTCCTAAGTGGCTGTCGCGTCTGTGCAAAGAAGTGTCACTTCCTCTGGGAAGCTCACCCAACAAGGCGGGACCCTGTGGTCTTCATCATGTTACAGCTGATTATTTATGTAGTTATTGCTTTCACGTCAGCCTGTCCTTTATGACTGGAATCCCCGCAGGGTACGGATTGTGACTGCCTTAGTCATACTGCACCCTGCAACCTACCTCTGTACTTGGTACACGGCAGGGGCCCCAGCCTGTCCAGGGCCCTGGGAGGCAAGAGGAACTGTGGGTGGAGGAAGGGAGGGATGAGGACAGGGGACCTGCGCCTGCGGCCCCGCGGGGTGCGAACACGGTCCCCCTACAGCTGCTGGGTGACCAGGAGGGAGCCAGAAGCCCCAGGCCCCGGGGACGAAGCCCTGTGCATGGGTTAGCGGGGGTGGGGGCGGGCGTGCATTAGGTCACGTGCCCTCCTCGCGGGGCACGTGACACAGGAGCCAGTGGAGCTGGTGCGTTAGGAAGTGAGCAGGGCTCCTCCTTCGTTCGAACAGTTTGGTTAAATGACTCGCTCACATCTCTTCCCTGTAATCACCCTCGGGCTCCGCGGCTGCCTTGCTTCTCCGCCGTGCCCCCCCGCCCCCCATGATGGTTTATCACTTTTCTCGTTCTTCTCTTTGTTTAACTATAAGACGACAAGGAAAGAGGGAGCCCAGCTGACTGGGCGGCCCCTTGTGCGGGAGCCAAAGAAACCATCCTGCCAATGGCAGGGAAAGACTAGACATGAGAACTGCAGTTCTATCCATTACGGCTGGGAAGGGGGAGATGGGGGTCTCGGCGGAGGGGCCTCTGTATGTGCAGACAGGTGTGCAGACAGGCACAGCACACACACACATACACACACACACACCCATGCACACATGGGCACACACTCACCCCACATGCACAAGCCGCTCCGTCCAGCCCACCCCTCTTCTTAGATTCCTCTCTGAGAATGGCCCGCGGCCATGACATTGTGTGACCTCCATCAGCTCCAGCTGGGTCCCTGTTACCCTTCCTCAATCGTCGGCTCATTCACGGCATGTGAGTTGAGCCCCTTCTGTGTCAGGTACCATCCAGGCAGGTGTGAGTGCCTCACGGAGCTCACACCATCCCGCTGCCGGTCGCTGCCCTCCCGCCCACCCTGTGTCCCCTGGAGGTTAACCTTGCACCTTGCAGGGGGCCTGGAGCATGGGAGATGTTAGACTCATTCTGAATGAATGAGTGAGTGAATGGATTCTGCACGGGTACCAGAAACACGCTCTGAGCTTCATTGTTGCAGGGCCCCTGCTCAGAGGCGTGGAGTGCTTGCTAACTCCTAGGAACTTTCATCTCAGTGGAGCCAGCGAACATTTGCGCCATCAGAGTAATGACTTCTGGCTGCAGACAGATAAGCTGGGGCCCAGTGCAGGCAGCAGAAAGCCTAGTGCACGAGGGCTTAAACTGTCGAGCTCGGGGGTGGATTGGGTCTCAGGCAAGGCTTGATCTAGCATCTCAGTTGTGCAACCGAGGACCCATGGTTTTCCACCCCGCGGCTCTGCTTTCCAGTTTCTCCTTCAGCATCAAAGTGGGCTGCGTATTCCGTCTTTCCCATTTCCAGGAAGACATGGTCTCTCCCAGTCTTGCAGTTAGAGGTGGGGTCAAGGCTGCCTCCCAAAGGGGGAGGCCTGGAGCGGATGGTAGAGGGACAAACACGTGTCGTCCCCTCTTCCCAGGGAGCAGAAGCCGTTGGCCCAGATGAGAGGCAGAAGTGGGTCTGGAACGCGGGTGGGAGGAGGAAGGCAAGCCGTGAGGCTGCCTGAGTGGGTGGGTGTATGTGCCTCCCCCTCCCCGCCCCCACCTCCGTGCCTCTGCCTCAACCAACGCTCCTTCTCAGGAGTGTCTGTCCTGACGATGGAGCTGACCCGACCGGAGACTGAGTGACATGCAAATCCAGGCTGGAGTTACTGTCCTCCCTCTCTCCGGAGCTGCGAGTGGATTCTGCTCCCTGTGAGGACGAGATCCCTACCCGGAGCCCCAGCCCCCACCCTCCCACTGACCGCCCCTGGGACACACATAGACACTGCCTCCCTGGGTCCTCATCGGACAGGACAGGACCTGTCACTGCACGTCCCCGTGGCTCCGTGCTCTGGCCTGAAATGCACTAAGGCAGTGGGACTTACGGGGGGGGATGGCGGGGGCTGTGCACATGGGGAAACTGAGGCCTGCTTTCTCTTCGCACAGCTGGGCTCCACCTGTTCTCAGGCGGGGTTCTTCTGCTGCATCACACGCGGTGCCTCTCTCCCATTCACTCCCCGAGTTAATCCTGGAGGCCTGTCCCAGTGTGTTCCCAGTCCTTCCCCGTGGGTTCCCTCCCCCTCAGACACGGAGTCCAGCCCATCTCTCCAGTCTAGTCCCCCTCTGCCCTCACCTCCTCTCTCTCCCACCCCTCCGCCCTCAGACACCCTGAGCCGTAAAAAGTTAAAAGTCATAATGCATGATGTTTGTTGAGGACGTAGAATGTTCCAGGTGCTGAGCTGAGTGGTTTACACGCGTTGTCTCTTTCATCGGTGTAACATATTTGTGATGTTTTTCTATGTGTCACATGCTGTGCCAGATGCTTTGGAGATAATCATGAACAGACATTCACTTCTTGGCCTCCTGGAAATTCCGGTTTCACTGGAGAAAACAGACATCAGCCAAAAGAACAAAGAAATAAAATTACAAAAGATTCCAGCTCCCGGTTCCAGGCCTTTGGAGAGGATTCTAAACCGAGCTGTAATGTGGTCTATAATCCCATTAAAAATATCATTAATGTATTCTTCCTTCATTCGTTGGGCACTCACTGTTCCTTCCCATGGCCAAGGGCTTGTGCCAGAAAGCAAGGGAGGGTTTATGGAGACACCTGTCGTCTGCCAGACACTCTTGTCTCATTCTGTCCCCACAAAGATGCTGCAAAAAGTAGACATTACTTTCCCCATTTTGCAGGCAAGGAAGCCGGGACTTGGCGCCCCGGGCTGAGGTCACACAGCACCTGCTCTGGGTGTCTTGGCCACCTGGCTATGGTCTGGCAGACAGAGCCTTTCCCTGTCCCTGTCTCCCCAGGGAGGGGCTCCTATTCTGCTCAGGAGCCTGCCCTGTTATCATTACAATGACAGTAATAACCCTGGCAGCAGCAGAAACAGCCACCCCTCCTTGCGACTGTCCCCAGGCAAAGCAGTTTGCTTATAGGATGTCATTTAATCCACACAATGAGTGGGCGAGGTGGGTGCTGGCCCCATGTCACACACAAGGCAGCAGCTCTGTGGGACTGACGGGCTAGCCCAAGGGGGCTGGTGAGTCGGGGGCAGAACTTGAACCCAGATCTGCTGGGTCTTTAAGAGGAGGGAGGGCTATTCCTGTAATAAGAAAAGAGGGAGCCAAGAAGTGGCGAGAAGAAGGGAACACACGCATCAAGAGAAATCGCCACGAGAGACCAGGCGCCCAGGGAGAGGGTGAGCGGGCAGGGGCCTGGGGTCCCACGGGGGTTCCAGCTCCCCATCCCCTCCCTGCATCCAGCCCGGGGGCCCTAAGTTCCCAGAGACACCCTCACAGCCCTGTACTCTCCCCACCCCATGTTTCTTTGCCTAAATGACACCGAGTGCTTTTCTGTGATTTGCAAGGAGCCCCGACTCAGATGCCAAGGATACCTGCTTATTAAAAACAACAACAATACACAAAACTGCTTAAAAAAAAGGAACAATTCTGACAATGAGTGTCTCTTGCTTCGAGAGGCCTCATCAAATGAGAGGAACGAGGCTTTTGCAAACCTATATGGAAATTAAACCCGCAATCTGGACACACGCTTGTTTGACAAGTGATAATTAACTGCTGACAATATAATTTCAGTTTGGATGCAAACGTGTTTTTCATTAAAAAGTAATCAAAGAGGTGCTTGCATCTGGCAGTCCAGCCTCCGGCGGCGGGAGCTCAGATCCTCTGCTGGGTTTCAGGGCTGGCACTGAGCACCCACTGTCCTTGGCCAGGTGGGCATGGCCCCCAAAAGCGACACGGGTGCAGATCTCCAAGGAAGCTTCTAGAGGAGGCCAGCTCAGTCAGATGGTGTCCCTAAAGGCCCAGCATCCCCCTCTGGGCATCTCTGAGCCCAAATGTGCCAGGGGCTGGCTGTCTGGGGGCTTGGTGCCGACCTCGGGGTCAGAGAGGGAGGGGGCGCACTCTTTTTTCTAGCCTCTACTATGCCCTGGGTTCTGCAGCAGTCCTATCTCATTCCCAATTGTACAGAAGGGGACATTGAGGCTCAGAGATGTGGCGGGTCACCTATTCTAGGCCACAGCCAGTGAGGGGCCAGATGGAGACATGCACTGTGCTCTGAGTCCTCAGTCTGTGCTGCTCACCCTGCCTTCCTCCTTTTCTCGAATCAGCTAAACTCTGTGGCTGTTTTCTCATCTGTAAAGTGAGGGGTGCCTCGGTGGCTCAGTCGGTTGAGTGTCCGACTTCGGCTCAGGTCATGATCTCACAGCTCGTGGGTTCAAGTCCCGCGTTGGGCTCTGACAGCTAGCTCAGAGCCTGGAGCCTGTTTCAGATTCTGTACCTCCCTCTCTCTCTGACCCTCCCCTGTTCATGCTCTCTCTCTCTCTCAGAAATAAGTAAAACATTAAAAAATGTTTTAAATGAGATAAGGGTACCTACCTCATGAGCTTATGGTGAGGCTTAATTGAGTTAATACATAGAACAGTGCTTGGTGAGTAGAAATCCCTGAGTAGATGTTAGCTATGAGGTGTATGAAGCGATTCACAGAGTCAATAATATCATTGTGGCTCCTTCACCCTCACCCCTCCAACCTGTGGGATCAGCTGGATCCACCCGTGCGCTCATCTGAGGCCTGCCCAGGCTGTGTCCAGAACTCCCACATCCACATGAAAGGAAGAGCTGGGAAGGACCCTGCGCTCTTGGGAGCCTGAATAGCCGAAGGTGCAGAGCGAGGCTTTGCTTCCGGACTCCGCGGAGCTCAGACGTCTCAGTCCCCGGGTCAGTCATCGCAGAAGCTCCAAGCGCCTCATCCACGCTCAGTTTGAGTCGTGGGATTGCTTTCCTTTGCATTTTTATCCCCTAAGTCTTCCTTCATGTCCATGGAATTCACATCCCACCTCTACCTTGCTCCCAACAGCCACACAGAACCACTCCCTGCTCCTGGAACATTCTATAACCTGTAACGTCTCTAGCCTTTGCACATGCTATACTCTCTGCCTAGAAGGCCTTTCCCTCTCCTTCCCACCTGGTGAAATTTGATCTTTGGAGACCCAACTCAAACATCACCATCTATTTTCTTTTCTTTTCTTTTTTTATCTTTTTATATTTCATTTCTTTCATCTTATTTTATATAGATAGCAAGCAGGCGAATGGGGCAGAGGGAGAGAGAGAGAGAGAGAGAGAGAATCCCAAGCAGGCTCCATGCGCAGTGCAGAGCCTGATGTGGGGCTGGATCCCACAACCCTGGGATGATGATCTGAGCCGAAATCAAAAGTCGGACGCTTAACTGACAAAACCTCCCAGGCGCCCCTCAAACATAATCTTCTTGATCACGCCTTGATCTTGGATCTGTTTGACCTGACTCTGAACATGAAGCAGGGGCTTTCTGTGCACTTATTAGGCCCCTACTATGGGCGTGGCTTGGTACATCTAGATGTACCAAGATGTGTCATCCCAGTTAATCTGAACTCTGTAAGCTGATCTATATTATCCCCCTTTTACAGATGAGGAAACCGAGTTTCAGAGAGGGGAAATGACTGGCTCAATGTTACATGCTTAATCAATGCCAGAGCCTGGACACAGCTATAAGCTGTGTCTTTTTGACCTTTGGCTTATGTGAATCCACTTAGTTCCTCCCCTAAAGGCAGCAAGATGCAGTGCCCCCTAAACTTACAGTCATATTTGTCACTGATCTAGACTTCAGACACAAAAGTACACACCTCCACCCACACAGGCCCAGGCACACACAGGCCAAGGAACAAAACCCAGACACAGTTGTATGGATGTTCCCAAGGATGAGCCTTGGGTGGGCAGGGCAGAGGATGGACCCAACATGGGGACTGCGTGCTGACATCTACTCTTAAAAACCTTCCTTCTGTGAACTCTAGAAACACTTGATCAAGTACAGCGAAAGGGACAGGGTCATTCCCTGGAGGGGGAAAGGAGCTGGCAACCAGGTGGCGAGTGTGTGAAGAGACAGAGCAGCCGCCATATATATGGTGGGCTGGTGGTGGAGTCAGCCAGTCACAGGGGCTGAGAGGTGAGGCTTGATGCCCCTCGGGACAGAAAATGACGTTTGGAGTGCAGTGCCAGAAGTTGCGTAAAGTCGAGACCTTCCAAGGACTGAGCCTTAAAGATGGGTAGACAAGAAAAATAATCAATTTCCCGACAAGTGCCCTCCTCCATGCCCATCTCCCCCCTCCCCCCCACACCCATCAGTCCTCAGTTTGTTCTCAGCATTCAAGAGTCTCTCATGGTTTGCCTCTCATTGGGTGTTATATGGAAACCAGCTTGACAATAAACTATTTGTAGAAAGAAAGAAAGAAAGAAAAATAATCCATTTTCAAGAAGTGGGAAACAACAGAGAAGTGTGTCAGTTTCCACTTGGACTCTGAGAAAATTGACCACATCTTGGGTGATCATGGCTACAAGCCTGTGCTGTACTTGGGTTTGTGGTTTTAAGTTATACGGTGGGCATCGTCCATGAGCCCCCACATGAAGCAATTTACATACAATCGGTCCCAAGCTGGTGATGCTTCTGGGGGTATTTGGCAGAAGCCAAGGCACAAACAGTTCAGGAGGGACACACCCTCCACTCAGAATTCCCACAGATAAAGCCCCACTGAAGATGAATGGAAAACTCAACGTACAAACAAATAAGGAAATAATTTACCACCCGTGAGAGTTAGTAACCATGTAATTCAGGACAATAAGAACCCAAGAACTTCAAATTAGCACAATTCTGATAGAAACCATAACATACCTGTATTTAAAGTGATTAAAAATATTAAAAAATATGAAAGGCCAAGAATAGAAGAAGACACTATGAAAAAAGAACAGACTAGAAAAAAATAGAAATATAAAAATGAGATTGATAATCATTGTAATTTGATAAGTCCTCAAGGGTGGATTGGTTAGTGGATTAGGTAGAACTGGGGTAAGAGTCAATTACCTGGAATGCAGACCAGAGGAAATGACCCTGAATGCACCACAGAAGGAATGGAGAAAAAAATATGGAGGAGAGATTCAGAGTCACAGAGGAGAGAATGGGAAATTCCATCAGCCCCCTATTGAGAGGGCTATTCCGGGATAGGCCTGACAAATTGCTAGAGGCTGAGTGTAAAGGTGAGAAGCTCGTTGGGTGCCTCGGTCCTCCCTCAGAAGTGAAGGAGAAGGAAGAAAGACTTTACGGGACAAACAAAAGCTGAAGACATTTGTCACTTGGAGACCTGCCCAGAAAGAAATGTTACCACATTTTCTTTAGGCAGAAGGACGAGGATGTGGTCCAAGACTTGCAGTGACATCAGGAAAGGAAGAGCGGTGGAGAAGAAAGAAATGAAGGTAAGAGTAAATATTGGTTTTTTCTTATTCTTAATCGGAAACTGCTTAAACCATTTGAAGAAATAACAGTAACTTTATATTGGGTGATTATAACATATATATAAGTGAAATAAGGACCACATTTTCATAAGTGATGGGAGTTGGGAGCTGGGAATACCCTCAGGTACCTGTACTACATGTGAACTGAAATAGTGTTATTTGCAAGTACATTTGGGCTCATTGAAGGTATATATAA